TGCCGCGGCCGCCGCCATCTGGCAGGAGGCGTAGGGCATGGGCGAGGGCGGCTGCGGCAGGGGCCAGGAGTTGTTGAGGAAACCCGACTGCAGGTACTTGGGCGGCGCCAGGTAGCCGTAGCCGTCGGCCCCCGCGCCCGCCACGCCGCAGCCACCCGCCGCTCCTCCGGACCCGAAGAGCCCCTTGCCCGGCTGGAAGTGAGCGGGCGGCGGCCGGAAGGGCCGCTTCATGCGGCGGCGGCGCCGGTAGTTGCCCTTCTCGAACATGTCCTCGCAGGCCGGGTCGAGCGTCCAGTAGTTGCCCTTGCGCTCGCCGCCGCCCTCGCGCGGCACCTTGATGAAGCACTCGTTGAGGCTGAGGTTGTGGCGGATGCTATTCTGCCAACCCTTCTTGTTCTTCTCGTAGAACGGGAACTTGGCGATGATGTACTGGTAGATGCCCGACAGGGTGAGCCTCTTCTCGGCGCTCTCGCGGATCGCCATGGCGATGAGCGCCACGTACGAGTATGGGGGCTTCTGCGCGGGGTCCGGCTTCTCGGGTGCTGTCCCGCCGCCCTTGCCGGGACTCGCCGGAGGCGCCTCGGGCTCTTTGACTGCCCGCCCGCTCTCCGGGGTCAGCAGGGCCCCCGCGGAGTCCTCCGGCTCGGGGTAGCTGGCCATCATGACAAAAAAAAAAAAAAGCCCGGAGCTCCTTGGCCCGGCCGCCCCGGGGCTGTGCTCTCCGGGCACAGGCTCGCCTTGCAGGCGGACGCAGGAGCGTGCGCTTGCGGCCGAGCCTCCAACTTCTGCAGGCTGCGGGGGCCGGAGGCCTCGCGCCGCTCTCGCTCTCTTCTCTTTCCCCCCGGGGAGCGGTCGGCGGGAGTGGAAGTCAGCCTCTGGCCATCGGGAGTCTGCCCAACAGCGAGGGGCTCCGGCCCCGCCGCCCCTCCCCGCCCAGGCCAGTCCCCGCCTCGGTGGGTTTTCTTGGTTGAGCTTTCCCCTCCCCCCACCGCCCGGTTTCCCGAGGCGCGACCCGCGTCTCTGGCGCAGCTGCCTCCTGGAGTCCCTAGTGCGCCAGGAGCCTTGCTCCGTTCTGATTCGTATGGGCTCCGCCGAGTTCCGCTTGCGTCAGGGGCCTTCGCCCCTATAGCGGGGCAGCCAGCAGCGCACGGGCGAGTTCATCTCTAAGTCTCTTTTTTTAAACGGCCGGCACAGCTTGGACCCGCCTGGCCCGGCCTCGGGAATCTAGGGGGCCCGCCGACAGCCCCGGGCTCACGTTCTCACGAGTCCTTGAAATCTGCGGGTGCTTACTTCGCAGAAGGCCCGCATGGGGGCTAGCTGCACCCAGCCAGTGTCCCCGGAGCAGTCTCCAGCGAGGAAGGGTCATCCAAGCCTCCTGGCAGCTTTCAGGTGACAGAAAACGACTCCTTTGCTTCTGCTTGGGGCTGTGCGGCGGCTAGACTTCTAGCTTGAGGCTTAGGGAGGGGCGAGATGGCGAGGGGGCCGGACCGGGGTGGAGTGGCAGAACTTTGCGGCAGCTGGAGGTAAACCAGCCCAGAGCTCGTGTCACGGAAAGCAGAAGCTTCGGCCTGCTTTGTCCCTCAAGCTCTCTGGGCCGGATTGGGACCCGGGAAAGGATCGCTAGGAAGAGGCACCCAGGAGTACTGCTTGCATGGACACTTCACTTTCCTGTGCTGCGGGTGGATGTAGGGACCAGTTTTCTCCTCGGAATTCGCCTTGCAATCCCACGAATTGGGTGTGTGTGTTTTAAAGACCAAGTCGTGTGCCCTGTACTCAGGCTTGGATACCGACGAGGATGTCCCTGAGGGACTTTGAGGACTGTTGTGTGCACAGGTGTCCCACGGGGGACGATCTGTGATATATGTGAAATACTGCGCAAGTGCAAAATGTGCTGTTCAGAAACACAGGTATGCTCATGTACAAGGTCTGGGAGTTGTATTTGCTCATTAGTGAGGTGTGTGGATCAAGCATCTGATTAAACACGGTTCGTGAATATAGCCTCTTCTTTTTCTTTATTTTTCCTTCCCCACCTCCACAATCTTTACCTGCCTCCTCCCCTCCCAGCGTCGGTAATTCTGTTACTGACTCAAAAGAAAAGCAGCAGGCTGGGGAAGCGCTTGCCCGCATCTCTATCATGATGAACAGTGGTTCTGATCTTCTTTCTCAAAAAGGTTTTGAGATGATAACAGAAGTCTGATGGATATCCAGTTATACCCGCAAGAACAGAAGAAGAATCAGAGGAAATATGCGCCAGCACAAAATCAGGTGTGCCTTTTAACTCAGCCTTAACGCAAGTCCGCAGTCTTCAAGTGTGAGAGGAGCTAAGTGTTTCAAGTCGCCAGGCTCCTGGGTGCGGCGGGCGCCTACACTTTGTGAAGAGTGGTAGTCTGCAAGCAACGCCCAGAAGGTGTATCAGTGATTGGCATGGCTAGGTGGCTAGCTCAGTGCCTGTTTTTACTTCTTTCTCCCAGGCTGTTTGGTCTGCAAGAGTTCTCCAGAATCCTGAGAGCCCGCAGTGGCCTGTGGCTCCAGAATCCGAAGACTACCTATCTACATTGCTCCCCACTTTGAGATGAAGGGAAAGTACAGTGTGTGTGTGTGTGTGTGTGTGTGTGTGTGTGTGTGTGTGTGTGTGTGTCTGGAATCCAGTATCTTGAAGATGACTCCAGAGAGGTCAACAGGGCAAACCTGGTCTAACCACCAGGGTGAGTGGGAGCTGGAGTCCTCTTAATTTCCCTGGGAGATACCTACTTCCAGCCCTTAAATATTCCCAAATGGCTTGGGTGTTTTTCTAGGCTGTCTGTCGCTGCCCTGAGCACACGTGGGACAAACAGCCCTTCTTCAAAATCCGACTGTTTTCTGAGCAGGCCTCCAGGTGCTTGTCTTCTTCCTCAACGTCAGGCATGCCCAGCTATGGGTAGAAGTGATGAGTCTGGCTGGTCTGGGCAGGGGCAAAACATCTGGCTAGGGTCTCATTCTGGTGGGGGTCGCTCTACTCCCTTTTTTCTTTTTCTTTTCTTTTCTTTCTTTCTTTCTTTCTTTTTTTTTTTGACCACCCAAGCTGACCCTGGGTCCTTCTCCCCCCCCCCCCCAAACGACTCCATTTCCGCTGCTCAGTTCCTCAGCAGCCAGGTGTGACAGCATTGTTGTGTATGTCATCACTTCCCCAAATTCCTCTGTCGGCTCCCTTTTCAGTCTTTAAGGAGTGTGTGTGTGTGTGTGTGTGTGTGTGTGTGTGTGTGTGTGTGTGTTGGGGGTGTAGGACAGTCTCTATGGGATTTTTTGAGTGGAAATAGGAGTCACGCATCCCTGGGAATTAATTTCTTGCTTGCTGTCTTTTGCAGGATCAGCACCCTAATCCTAGGTGGAGAAAGGGTACCTCGGGCGTGTACAAGGCTGGGAAACAGAACTTCAGGCGCCGCGGGGATCACCTCCCGGGCCGCGTCTGGCCGGCGGTAAGCCGCCAGAGCTGTAAGGGTTGGAGGAGACTCGGGAGAAGCAGCTTGTTTGCACCGCGCTTCGGCGGGATGTGGATGCAGCAGGAGCGCCCAGAAGCTGTGGGGGGAACTTTGATTTTCTTCCCACTCCTACCCCACTCCCTTAGGCAGGCTGGATAGGGCCCTACGTCCTGGCAAGAGTGGGATTCCGTTCCTCTAGGCCTGTTTGCAGAGGTTGTGTGGGCTACCGCGTTTCGCCGGTTAATTCTGACAAAGCCGGGCGTCCACTTAGTGACCTCCGGCCTGCGCCCAAATCCAGCGGCCATGGTCTTTAGCCAGCCGGAGCTCCATGTTTCTCTGGCCGAGGTTTACAGGAGCCCTCAACACCTCCATCCAGCTCCTTGTGCCGCTTGAGAAATGCCTGCAAACGCCGTGCTAGGAAGCCGCGGACGCAGCAGCCTCTCAGCAAGCCGGCTTGGCGCTCCGGACGTCTAGACCGCAGGCGTGAGCAAGTCGCTGGTCCCCGATGAAGACGTTTCTCTCCCGGGATGGGTTTCCGGCAGCTGCCGCAGAAGTATTGCGGCCGGCCGTGCGAGGCAGGCTGCGTTTTCCCAGCACCATTCAGGTCGGACGCACAGCCACCCGGCCGGCTCCTCGGGTCCCCTTTCTTATCAGTCCGAACAGTCCCGGCTTCCCGTTCCTGCGCCAGGAGAGAAGAACCCAGGAGGTTGAAGCGCTCTTAGACACAAGCTGCCTCTGCAGCTCATTGGAAAGAGAGCTTCGGTGGGGCTTACCCCTCCCTACCCAACTCTACACCTAACAACCGACCTCCAGCCTCACCCCCACATCTGAGGCATCTACATAACTCCGATACACTCACATTGACCCCTGTCGACCTCTCTCCATCAACTCCAAATCCTCTCTGCCTCACTACTCCCCCACACTCACCTGTTGCACATACTAGTTCAGATTCTGCACTTTTTGGTAGAAGTGTATTAAATCGGCCTTTGGACACCAATCCCTTCCTTACACTCCCAGCAAGCCCTCCCATCTCATGGCTTCCTAGTCGGTGCGAGGGGGATTCCACTTCGTGAACCCGCCAGACCGTGGGTTTGGAGACTTAATGGTGTTCTCAGGACATTTGCAGAATAGGCCAGCGGCCCCTTTGTTTCTGGATACCACAAAGAAGATGCCCTCTTTAGGCCTGGCCTGAGCATCTCTCTCCAGTGTTTGGTCACGTGTTCTAGAACGAGGCGAAGGCTTGAAGATGGTAAGGCTTGAAGATGGTGCACCTTGACCTGGAAAGTGGGAGCTGGGGAGAATTTGCGGACAGAGAGAGAACAGAAAGTGGGTTTCTGGAGATGGTCTTGGGGGTGGTGTGGGGTGGGGGGCAGACAGCCAACAGCCTTCTGCTCAGGACCACTTGGTACCAGGGCTCCACAGAGGTCATATATGGGCTTTGCCCTCCGCGGATCCCACCCTTCCTTAGGCCCCTTTGTGGACTAATTGAGGCCTTGCTGGGCTCTGGGTTTGTGATTGGGCATAATTACTGGCAGACTGCTGTGGTGGTACAAGCAGGCTTTTGTTGGGGGAGGTAATAGTCTGAATTTAGGGTCTTTGGGAATGGATAATTGAAGATCCTGGTGTGCCCTGTTCCCGGTACTTTTTGGCTTTGGCATTTGGCTTGGTGGAGTGAAGGATGAGTAGCAGGTCTGAACAGAAAAGGTACTGTTGTTGTATGGATGATGGAAACTGAAGTCCAGAAACATGCAGGGTCTCTGTTAGCCCACAGAGGTACCTGGTGCAGACAGAATTGGGGTACTTATGCCTAGCTTTTTGTTTTAAGACAGGGTCTCACTGTGTAGTCCTGGCTGGCCTGTAAATTCTCTTTGTAGACCAGGCTGGCCTTGCCTGAGATCTGCCTGCCTCTGCCTGTTGAGCGCTGGGACTAAAGGTGTGTGCCACCACACCGGGCATGCCGGGTTCTGTTACCGGTACATACCACTGACAGGCTGGGAGTCACTACAGTGGAGCAGGTGACAAGGGCTCCTCTTGATTCTCAGTGATATCAGCCTGGGAAATTAATTAAGGGACCTTGTCTTGCTTCAGAGTTTTATGTTTTTATCACTTTGTGAATAGCAGTATATTCACCTGAAGCAAAATAAAATTCAGAAGGTTTGCAGTACAAAATCTGTTCCCAAGTTACCCCTCTCGCAGGCAGCCAGGACCCTGGTTTTATGACCTATTTTATGCATATACAAACATGAACACTCATTTTCTCCTGCATACTGCCACTTTCTGTACATGGTGGCAACTAGTATGCCACGTTCAGCACCTTAGAAATCCTTCTGTATCAGTCCCCCCTCATCCCCCACCCTGTGGTATCTCTCTTAGCTCAGGCTGCCCTGGAACTTGAGATACTCCTCCTTTAGGGGCTCACCTCTCGGATTTCAAATCTGCATCATGACACCCCATCTTCATGCATTTTCTTTATAGAGCTGAGTGGCTGAGCTGGTTTGTCTTCACTGTCACCGTGATTGGATGTGGAATCACCTAGGAAACACACCTGTGAGCATGTCTGTGCCGGAGTTTCCAGCCCAGGGACTGGAGTCCTGGAGTGAGTAAGAAGAAAATGAGCAGAGCAGCAGCGTTTAGCTCATAGCTCATAGCTCAGGAGACTGTGGATACAGTGTGACCATCTGCCTCAAGCTTTTGCTGTCCTGCCCTCCCACCTCGATTTGGCCTGTAAACCCAAAGCGGCTTTTGTCAGATACACAAAACAAGTTCTTTTAAGAATTGTTTTTATTGTTTATTCTTGCATGTACGTGCCCCCCCCGCCCGTGTGTGTGTGTGTGTGTGTGTGTGTGTGTGTGTGTGTGTTGTATGCCAAGTGTGTGAGGGTACCTGAGGATTCCAGAAGAGGGTGTTAGATTCCCTGGAGCTGGAGTTAGTTACAAGCAGCTGTGAACTGCCCTGTGTGGATGCTGGGACTGAACTTGGGTGCCCTGCAAGAACACTCAATTTTCTTACTTGCTAAGCTCTTTCCAGCCTTTTCTCTCAGATATTTTATCATAGCAACAGAAAATTTAATGAATAGAGTGGTGTGTAGCATGAACCTTAAAAGTTCTTATTAATAAAACAAACCCTAGGCCAGTTATTGGGGTCAATGCTGGTAGATCAGAGAGACAGAACAAGCCACAGCTACCTCACCTTGCCAGATCCTCAGCTGGTCTTGTCTCCTCAGACTGGAGGCCTCTGAGTCCTCATCCAGAATGGGTCTCAGCTGAATTGCTGCTCAAAAGCCTGAATGCTTAACCAGCCAAACGCTGCTAGTTTCTGGTCCCCACGCCTTACATACCTTTCTGCTTTCTACCACCACTCCCTGGGATTAAAGGCTTGCTTTCTGGGATTAAAGGTGTGATGAGTCACCATGCCTGTCTGTATCCTTGAACACATGGATTTTTGCCTCTGGAATGCTAGGATTAAAGGTGTGTGCTACCACTGCCTATCCTTTATGTTTAATATTGTAGCTGCTCTGTCTCTGACCCCAGATAAGTTTATTAGCATGCACAATATTTGGGGGAGTACAATACCACATGTCCTCTCTTTTTGTCTAAAATTTAAAAAAGCTTATAACTAATACAAGAAAAATTATATCCAGTAAATATATACAATATACAGTCAAGATTACATTAACGACATCTAGTCCATTAACATTTGACAGAATCAGATTAAAAACTCCATTATATATATTAACAATGTCCAGTCCAGTAACATCTGATAAACTCAGACCAAAAAAATTTCATTACTTATCTTATTTAAAACAAGTAGTTCCTTTTTAAAAGTAGATTCCATAGTGGTGTCTAGGTTGTTTCCAAGCCTTTGTTATCAAAAGCAATACTTTAGTGTATGATCTTTGTACTTAACTTTGTAGACATATCCATATATTTGAAAGCAAAGTTTCTAGCAGTTGGGGTCAAATGGCATGTCCATTTGTAAGTTTGACAGACGATGCAAAGCAGTCTTCCTAGGGAGAACCAGTATGGGCTCCCACCAACAACGAATTAGATTCCTGTTTCTCCACCATTTCAGGGCATGCTTTAGGGGACAGAGTGGGGCTCACCAGGTAGCCCAGGCTGATCTCAAACATGTGATTCTTCTCCCAAGTGCTGAGATGGCAGGTGTGGGCCCCCACAGCCCACTACATCATTTCTTTTCAACATAGAAATCTTACAGATTAGTTCAGGACTCACCTGCATCTTTCTCGGGTTTCTTTCCACATGTTTCTCTCCGGGAGGGAGCATCATGGTGAATTTGATGTTTAATATCCCTGTACCTGTTAGGCCATGTGTGTGACATGTGTATGTACTCCTAGGCAATACACTAAGCTCTGGGATTTCGTAGCTTTATATAACTGGCATCCAGTTGCTCTAAAAGACACGTGCTTGCTTTTTTTTTTATTCAACCATATGTTTGTGAAAAAGTTCCTGGTCGATACACAAAGACAAGCGCTGTTCATTACCCCTGTGTGGCACCGTTCCATTGTACGAACACGCTGTGGTTTATTTATCCATGTTCCTGTTGAGAGGCATTGGATCATTTCCTAGTCTTTACTGTTACCCACAGCCCTGCTTTGGGCTTTCTTATACATGGCTGCTACTGGGCATGGGCTGCAGCATGCCAAGGGTGACTCGGAGTGCTGGGTCAAAGAGGACAGGCATCTGTAAGCTGCCCAGTTACCAGCAAGCAGAGCTTCAGCGGCTGTGAGTGGAGCCTCCATCTTGCCTGAGCCAGCAAGGCAAGAATAGAGCAGTGGGAGAAGGTGTGAGCTTGGGTTTCAGCGATATCAGTGACATCCTGGCTCTGTGATGTATTTGCTGCGTGGCTTTGGAATGGTTACTCAGCCTCTCTGTGACTTGATTCTCTCAAATGCAAAAGGTGATGCCAGCATCCAGTGGGGTTCCTAAGTAGACAAATTGAGGTACTGTATGGAAATATTTAGTATAGAGTCTGGCATGGAGAAAGCACAGAAAGATCTCAGCAATTATTATTCGTAATATAAATATATTATGAATATACCAATAGCATCAATAATTGTTGTGAAATATTTAACTATGTAAAGATGTGTTACATTTGTTTATGCTGCATTTGTTTAATTATGTAAAGATGTGTTGCTGTTTCACCTTGCCTACCTAAGGCACCTGATTGGTCTAATAAAAAGCTGAACAGCCAATAGCTAGGCAGGAGAGGGATAGGTGGGGCTGGCAGGCAGAGAGAGTAAATAGGAGGAGAAATCTAGGTTCAGGAGAGAATAGGGGGAAGAAAAGAGGAGAGAAGGGGAAGAAAGAGAGGGAGACACCTGGGGCCAGCCAGGCAGCTTCCAGCCAACAAACACGGATTAGGACACACAGAAAGAAAAGTTAAAAAGCCCTGAGGCAAGATGTAGATGAAGAGAAACAGGTTGGTTTAAGTTAAAGAAAAAAAGCCCCAAACGAGCATAAGCTAAGGCCAATCATTCATAACTAATAAGAAGTCTCTGTGTCATGATTTGGAACTAAAAGAAAACCTTGTACAAATAATGATTATTATTAGCATGGTTGTGTTCTGCCTGTGTTTCTCTCTGTTTCTCCAGGGTTTCCCTATGTAGCAGCTGGCCTGGGATTCATTACATAGTGCGGACTGGCCTTAAACTCTTGATCCTCCTGTCTCAGCCTCTGGAATGCTGGGATTCTGGTTGTGTACCACCATGCTCTATCACTTTGCAGGAGACTACTTGGATCCAGCTACAGATAGATCCATCACTTCATTTGCAAGAATTTCAAGTAATAGCCCTAAAATATAAGCACTTAAGAAAACATAGTTTTCACAGCACGACTGCATCTAAAAGCTGAGAGCGACTGTTTTGGTATAATGCACACACATTCAGGATTCATATCTGCTCCATTCAGTCGGGCAATTTATAGTTGATTTGTTTGAGTCAGTAAGTTCAAACTTGTCTTTTTTTGGCTATTGAAAACACTCATCTCTTCCTTTTTTTTTTTAACAACTCTGTGTGTGTGTGTGTGTGTGTGTGTGTGTGTGTGTGTGTGTGTGTGTGTGTAGGCTGGAGGTCAGCCTTGGGTGGTGGTCTTCAGGAACTATCTACCTTGTGTTTAGAGACATGGTCTCTCACCGGGACCTGGGACATACCAATTAGTCTAGGCTGGCCAGTCTGTGAGTCCCAGAGATCCACTTGTCTCTGCCTTGCCCTATTTGGGATTACAAGCATGTGCCACTGTGCCCAGCTTTTAAAATATGGATTCTGGCAGTCAGACTAAGGTCCCCATGCTTGGACATTAAGCACTTCACCAAGTGAACCGTTGCTATAGCCCCTCTTTCTTCTTATAATGTGTCTGCTAAAGGCAGTAGCCAGTTGCTCTGTAGCTCAGCACAACTGGCTCTTGCTGGTTGTACCCCATGGCATCTCCTCTGACCTTTGTAGTTCCTGTACATTGGTAGATGCTATAGTTTGGGTTAGAGGTATCTCCCCCAAAGCCCAGCCTGTAGTCCTACTGGGTGATGGTAGAACTCTTAGTAGGCACAGCCTTAATGGAGGAAAGCTAGGTTGTGGTGGGGAAGGGTAGGGGTTGCCTGAGATATGTCTTCCATAAGCTCATGTATTTAAACACTTTTCAGGAGGTTATGGAACCTTTAGGAGAGCCTTGCTGGAGGAAATACCTCATCTGGGGGCTAGGCTTTGATGGTTTATAGTCTTGCCACACTTCCTGTTCTCTCTCTCTCTCCCTCTCCTTCCCTCTCTCTCCCTATCTTCTCTCCCTCCCTCCCTCCCTCTCCTTCTCTCTCTCCCTCCTTCCCTCTCCCTCCCTCTTTCCCTCCTTCCTTCTCTCTCCCCCTCTCTCCTTCCTCCCTCCCTCTCTCCTCCCCCCTCTTCTTTTCTTCCTCCCTCCCTCTCCTCCCTCCCTCCCTCCCTTCCTCCCCCCCTCCCCCTCCTTCCTGTGTGTAGACACTTTCTGATCTTGCTGCAATGTCATGATGGATTCTATGCCTCTGGAGCCATGAGCTGAAAGCCAAAATAAACTCTTTCTTCCTTAAATTGCTTTTTGTCATGGCATTTTATCACAGCAACAGAAAATAAGTAAGTAATACAGGGAGTGTGCCTGTGAAGGGAATGTCAGACCTGGTCCCTTTCTATTTCTGCTGTCTAGAGGTTTAGACCTTCTGTACCATAAGTCCCTGCCATGATGCAGGGCTACCACAGTCTCGCAGCAACAGGGCTAAAGACCGTGGATGGAAACCCTCAAAACCAGGAGCCAAATAAACCCTGCCTCCTTTAAAGATGGTTTGCCTATGGTATTCCCTGGAATACCTGAGTGCATAGTGATGGAAGGCTATTATAGCAGGGCCAGAGGCTCCCTCAGATGAGTGTAGGGATTAAGAACACTCCCTCACGTGTGCAGTTCCACGGGGGCGGGGATGGCAGACAGCAGTAGTGTCTGAACTGTTTTTCTTTTATGTTTTAACAATCACTGACGATCACTGCCGAGAGACATTGTTCATTAGGGATTGCAAAGACAGTGGTAATTTAATTCTATCATTCTCCAGGAATTAACTAAATTGTTTCACAGAGAGAAACTTAAAAAAAAAAGAAAAGAAAAAAAAAAAAAGAAAAAGAAAACCAATAACTATCTGGGGCTGTGGATGATAGGCAGGCAAATGGGGGATTTTTCTTGTTTATAACAATGACAATGAGATTCCAAGTAGTCA